TTACAGTTGTCAAAAGAAATGTTTTATTATTGAAGGTCACCCGAAATGATCTTTCAGAACTATACTACTACCCAACAAAATCTTTTATGATTCATTCTAACAGGAAACAACTCTTTCGAATATTACCTATTGTTATACACCATTACAGTCTAACTTTGCACATAGTAGAGACTCACAAAATATTACGGAAAACTATAATTCTCTTTGTTTAAGACAACTTCTCCTCACCACATACAGAAAAACCTAAGTAGAACTTATTATCAAAATACACACTAAATTTGAAAATGAGAACTTTTATTTATTTTTTTCTGAATATTACAGTACTATAAAAATAAACGCAACATCATCATCATTCGCTATCTGCTCGTCAATGGAATATATATAGTATTTTGATTCACGATCACGACTATTCTTTAGTTCTATTACGATTTAGAAGCTTAATGATTATATAATAAACTTCATTTTTGATTTGATTGCCGTAGAGATCTAGTATGGTGAGGGTCTAGATGAAAAAGTGTCACTAAACACATGATAAAGATAAAGAGAGAAGGGCATTACAGTGTTGTGTTGTAGTGCAGCAGCCAAGTATTGTGCTCCAATATGTCCGATTCCATTGCCTCCGAGATTTAGTGTGGTGAGTGTCTAGATGAAAATATGTAAGTAAAGACGTGACATAGATAAAGACAATTACTGTGTTGTGTTGTAATCCATTAGCTAAATGTTGTGCTCCAATATATCCGATTCTATTTGTTTGGAGATTTAGTGTGGTGAGTGTCTAAATGAAAAAGTGTAAATAAAGACATGATATAGTTAAAGAGAGAAAGATAGTTACTGTGTTGTGTCGCAGTACATCGGCCAAATGCTGCGCTCCAACACTTCCGATTAAATTATTCGAAAGGCTTAGTGTGGTGAGTGTCTATATGAAAAAGTGTAAGTAAAGACGTGATATAGTTAAAGAGGGAAAGACAGTTACTGTGTTGTGTCGCAGTGCATCAGCGAAATATTTTGCTCCAGCATCGCCAATATAATTGCTAGAGAGACTTAGTGTGGTGAGTGTCTAGACGAAAAAATGTAAGTAAAGACGTGATCTACAAAAAGACAGTTACTGTGTTGTGCCGCAGTTCATCAGCTAAATGTTGTGCGCCAATATGTTTGATGTCATTGCCGTAAAGATCTATTGTGGTGAGTGTCTAGATGAAAAAGTATAGATAAAGACATGATCTAGATAAAGAAAGAAAGAAAGACAATTACTGTATTGTGTCGTAATCCACCAGCCAAATGCTGTGCTCCAACAGGTCCGATTTCATTCTTCGTGAGATTCAGTGTGGTGAGTGTCTAGATGAGAAAATGTCCGTAAAGACATGATCTAGATAAAGAGAGATAGACAGTTACTGTGTTCCGTCGCAGTACATCAGCCAAATACTGTCCTCCAGCATGTCCGATTCGATTGTGCGCGAGATTTAGTGTGGTGAGTGTCTAGATGAAAAAGTGTAGATAAAGGCATGATCTAGATAAAGACAGTTACTGGGTTATGCTGTAATCCATCAGCCAAATGTTGTGCTCCAATAAATCTGGTTATATTGCCCCGGATATTTAGTGTGGTGAGTGTCTAAATGAAAAGGTATAAGTAAAGATATTATATAGGTGAAGGACCAGAGTATTTGGCCATTGTTAGCTGGGTTTAAATTAATGAAATAGATGTTGGTAGGATTCCATTGACGAGCACATATATATGTGTCTGAATACTTCTTTGAATTTAGATTCTGTGCAACGGTCAAGATTGTTGAATAAAAACTAATGAGCGAAAGGCGAATACATACTAAAACGTCGAATTATAAATGTCTTACGAAATATACTCGATGTTTTATTTTGTCAATGAATTACTCTTGAAATTTCGTTCTTGAGAAAAGTTCTTTGAGAAGAAATGTTCCATTTTTCTGGTATGATTGTATAAGGGTGCGAATATTGTTGTGAGTGAATCTGCTCTCCATCCATATTCGCCGTTACGTAAAATCAGAGTCATCCGTGCTCTCAGAGAAGTATTTGTTGAAGATATTTCTTAAGTGAGCTTCTACAACGTTATTTATAACAAGATAAACTAGCTAGTTTATAGATTGTTAGTTTCTTTGAAAATGTTATTTTTATTATTGAAATAATAATTAAAAATGTTTAGATGAGACTGAAACGATAAAAAAAGAAACTATTTTTTTCTAATCATCAAGACATTGTTTTCGAACAAGATTAATAAGTGATTCTATTTGTATAGAGATTTTAGGAATGAAAAATAATTTGTGGATCAATAGACAAAAATTAGATTGTCATGATAGAAGAAAGTTTACCTGATATCGATGATAGCTGTTTAAGATCATGTTGAACCGTTGACATACATTGGCCATTGAGCATAGCATTGTTAGATCACATTGATGGTCTAGAATTTTATAGACGATTTCTACTGGTAACGTATGGAAGTTCCAGACAGTTTGATTTGTCATTGTAGACTCTTGATATAGTACGAGCTGTGTAACGTTGTATTTTTTCTTCAAAATATAAAGATCTCTATAACATTTTTGTAGAGTGCAATAAATATCCATGCATTATATATTATATTTTTATGAATTTATATATGATCTATTGATCACTGGGCTTTTATTTTCCTTTTCATATCAAGAACAAAGACAAATTACACAAAAAAAAGAAATGTTTTTCAAATAATAAATTAACGAAAAGATATATTTGTTTTTAATCAGCTTCAACTTCAATAGCTTGCTGATATTCCGCTCTGCATTTAGGACAAATTTTTGCTGATCTCATTTCATAATCAATCTTACATTTCGAACAAAAAATCATATGTCCACACGGTATAAGTACACAAGTTGCTTTAGCATCATAACAAATAGTACAACGATCAGAATCATCATCATCAATATTATTATCTACTCGAGGTGTTGAATTTACATTTTGATTTGTTTCAGTTGGTCGAACATTTTGTGCTATTAAAGCAAATACAGATAGAGCTGTTATACGACCATTTAAAAATAAGAACGGATAAAATGTTTGATTAAGATCAGCAAATGTTAATATACGTGGTTGAGATACTGTATCATTATTTCGACATAATAAAATTTCTCCACTTGTTCTATCAAATAATATTCGATATTCATCAAGTTCACTTAATGTTTCATCGAATGGTTCTTCACGTAAAAGCCAATATTCTTTTCGATCAACTAATGCTGCTGGATCATTTGCTGGTAAAGTTTCTAATTTGTCAGCAAATGTTGATGGACGAACATTAGTAAAACCAAATATTCCTCTTTAAAAAATATTTATAGAACAAAAAAGAAAAATCATAGACAAAAATATTTACGGTGTTCGATAATTTGGATCAATTGATAAAATACGAATGTAGAGTTCATCACCAGGTGCTAATGGAAAATTTATAAATAAATAAGGTCGGACTAGTTTTTGAACACCTAATAAATAGAAAAATGGAATTTTTTTTCTATATAAGTTATTTTAAAACAAACGTTTGCGTAGTGCAACTTTATATTCACAATATAATTCTAATTCAGGACCATGAACATTGCTGAATGTAACTGGATGAAAATTCTCAGGTGTTAATTGAGAAAAATAACGAATAGGTAATTTATCTGGTTTTTGAGGATATTTAGCAAATAAAGATTTTCCATCGTCAGTTGTTTTAGGTGGAATTGTAAAAGTAACAGCTAAAAAAAAAGATAATTTATTAATATACGTCATAAACAGATGAAATATGAGAAAAAATTTTTGTCGGAAGTTTTATTAGATAAGATTGAAATTCTAGAAATTCTTTCCTGTTCAATTAAAATTTGTGATGTATATATTACCTTTAACATTTCCATAGATGTCAATAACTGCCCATAGAGGTTTTTTAATATCAATATTTTTAGATATATCTTGTTCTCGTCCATCAAGAATAAAATAAGCTCCTCTAAATAAAATAGAAATTTTTTCAAAAAAAAAAACAAATCTTTTATTAAATACTCAGGATTATAATAGAAAATAATACAAAGTTGTTTTGTCAATGTCTCATAAAGACGTTTAACATAAGAGAAATTATTAGTGGAACTAAGATTTGGTAATGCAGATTTAGGTAAATCTTCTTGTTGAATTGTATTTGGATCAACTTGAGTAAATCCTAAAATAGAAAATTAACTTATTTGATTATATCTTGTTCCTTCTTCTTTTTTTTGTTATACCTATAGCTAATGAACCACACCATTGACGAGTTTCATCAACTTCAACAATTTTTAAATGTATACGTTCATTAATATTAACTGGTTTATCTGTGAATGTAATACCTAAAATTAAACAAAAATATTTTTGTAAACTTGTAAAATACAAACAAAAAGGTTTACCATGATCGAAAGAAGTATATCTAACAGCCTTTGATGCATTATTTTCTAATCTTATATTTTGACCAAATGTAACTTGATGAAAACAAAATGTTGGAGTAGTAAAATCGTTAGTGGTTGTTGTTGTTACTTGTGACATTCTCCAGAAGAATTATAAGTGATAGTATTATTTCAGTGAAAGCATTTTTTCCCTTTTTTTAATATGATAAGTAGTTTCTTCCTGTTTAGTCAATCAAAAGTATCCTATAGTATGATAAAGTTTATATAAACCATTCAGTGTATATCTTACATGTGGTGACCTCTGTATTTTATTTTCTAAATTAACAAAATTTACTAAATAATTCAAATGAAATTTATTAAGTTCGATTTATTTTTCTATTTAGAAAATTTCACTTTTGAAAAAAAACAAAAAAAACTTATTATTTCATTGGATAATAAACACCAAAATAAGTAGTAATGGTGTAACTTAGTTCCAATACAAAACATTGCCTAGTTAATTGTGCAAGTAATTATTGATCTACGTTGAAGATAATATTAACACATTGTAAGTTATAATGCATTTTTATTTTATAAAAGTTGTTTTTCTTTTGTAGATTTATCAATTAAATTATGGCAACTAATGCGTTTCAACCTGCTGGTAAATATTTTGAATCTTTGTTGAAAATTAAACCTAAAATCTTCTTTTTTTTTAAAGCTGGTGGTGCGGCACGAGGTGAAGCCAATCTTAGTGGCATGTCAAAACAATATGCTGCCCGTGATATGCCAGCAAATAAAACATTGAAATATCGTGAAAAAGGTCAACATACACAAGAAGAATTAAGATTAAAAGATCGTGACGGACTACGTCGAGAACTTGAAGAACGTGAACGAAATATTCGTGATAAACAACAACCACAACGTTCTTCATCCGATACAAAACGAATTACATCTGGTGGAACAACTAGCAGTCGATCAAAACCATCAATAACACATACTGAAACAAATATTGATGCTGAGTAATGTTAAATATCGAATAAATATATTTTTCGAACTTTTTATTTTTCTTAGTGATCCTCTTGATGAATCATCATCAGATGAAGAAACAACATCATCACGTCATCCATCGAAATTTTCTAAAAATACACAACAAAAT